TGCAGATCCAGGAGCTGCAAGGCAAGCTCCAGCTGGTGGAAGGCGAGAACGCCGCCATGCGGGCGTCGCTGCTGCGCCTGCGCTCGGTGGAGGACGAGCTGGCGGCGGCCAGGGCGCAGGCGAGCATGCGCACGAGCAGCCAGGAGCCGCCGCGGGTCCAGGACGAGGCGCAGGGCCCGGATGCGGAGGAGGAGCAGCTCCGGCGGGCCAACGGAGAGCTGAGGCGCGAGCTGCAGAGCATGGCCGGGCGCAACCAGCTCCTGGAGGGCAAGCTGCAGGCCCTGCAGGCCGACTACCAGACGCTGCAGCAGCGCGAGGCGGCCATCCAGGGCTCCCTGGCCTCGCTGGAGGCCGAGCAGGCCAGCATCCGCCACCTGGGCGACCAGATGGAGGCCAGCCTCCTGGCGGTGCGGAAGGCCAAGGAGGCCATGAAGGCGCAGGTGGCGGAGAAGGAGGCGGCCCTGCAGAGCAAGGAGCAGGAATGCGATCGCTTGCGCCAGGAGGCCCTGAAGTGGCGGCAGCTGGCCGAGTCCCGGGACGGGGAGCGCAAGGCCCTGGAGCACCAGTGCCAGCAGCAGAGCCAGCTGATCGAGACCCTCAGCAGCCAGAAAGGCCCCGAGGAGCTGCCCCGGGGCGACAGCGTGCAGCTGGCCGTGCTGTCTCAGGCCCAGCTGGAGGTCCACCAAGGGGAGGCCCGGCGGCTGCAGGCCGAGGTGGGCGACCTGCACGCCAAGCTGCGGGTGGCCCTGGGCGAGCGCGACAAGGCGCAGAGCCAGCTGACGGTGACGGAGGCCACCCTGCAGGAGCACAAGGCCCTGGTGCAGCAGCTGAAGGAGCAGAACGAGGCGCTGAACCGGGCCCACGTGCAGGAGCTGCTGCACTGCTCCGAGGCCCAAGGGGACCGGCAGGAGGAGCAGGCGGCTGTGGCCCTGCAGGCCGAGCTGCTGCGCGTGGCGTGCGGCTCCGAGGACGCGCAGCTGGCGCACGTCGAGCTGCAGGAGCAGCTGCGCCGGGCCAACACCGACACGGCCGAGCTGGGCATCCAGGTGTGCGCGCTGACGGCAGAGAAGGAGCGGGTGGAGGGCGCGCTGGCCTGCACCGCGCAGGAGCTGCAGGACTGCAAAGAGGCGGCGGCCAGGACGAGGGCCAGCCTGGAAAGCCAGGTCGTGGGCCTCCAGCAAGAGAACGAGAGTCTGCAGGAGCAGCTCAAGAGGGCCGAGGAGGCAGCCGGCTCCCTGGCTGGCCTGCAGGTCCAGCTGGCTCAAGCCGAGCAGCAGGCCCAGAGCCTGCAGGAGGCCGCACACCAGGAGCGGGACGCCCTCAAGTTCCAGCTGAGCACCGAGATCATGGATTACCAAAGCCAGCTGAAGGTAAAGCGGGTTGGGCTTATCAACATAGCTCCTCCTCAGGAGGCTGAGATCTGAGGATCCTAAAATGAGGCCAGCCTGGGCAGTGAGATTCTCCTCTCCACTGTTACCGCCAAAAAGCTGCAGGTGGTGGTGTGGCCCAAGCGGTTGGGCACCAGCCTTGAACCAGAAAACTGAGAGGTGGACAGCAGTTTGAGGAGTGAGCGAGGAACCCCGTCTTTCACCATCCCCCTTTGTGCTTCTCTCCAGACAGCCAACGAAGAGGGCGAGAGCCTCAGGGCGCAGCTGGACGAGCGGGGCCAGCAGCTGCAGGCGGCCCGGGAGGCCGTGGACGAGTTGAAGGTCAGTGGTCGCTGTGTGCGGGCCCACCAGGGAAGGAGGCTTTGTGGGGGCCATTTCAGGGGGGGCTTCCTGCTCAGTGTCCTGTTCCCGGGGTCACAGGCCCATCCGTTCAGACACCCTGGAGCTGCCAAGGGAAAAAGAAAGCGGGTGTGTGTGTGGGGGGGGGCACGCTCTTCCTTGGCCAGCCCGTTGACAGCCCAAACTGCGCGTGCGCAGGAGCCACGCTGGACTTGTGGGTATCTCGGGCAGGCTTGGACAAGCTGAGGGTCCCCTCCCTTGTGTGCCAGGCTTTGCAAGCAACCTTGGAGGAGAAGCTGAGCTGCACCAGCAGCCGCCTGGCCGAGTGCCAGGCCTGCGCGCTGCAGAAGGAGCAGGAGGCGGCCGCCCTGCGCGAGCAGCTAGACCGGTGAGTCCTTCCCGCGGCTCCCGCTACTCGGGAGGCCGAGATCTGAGGATCGCAGTTGATGGCCACGCCCAGGCAGGAACGTCGGTCTGAGTCTTATTTCCAATGAGCCACCACCAACCAAAAACCCAAAGTGTGGCTCAGGTGGTAGAACGCCAGCCTTGAGCAACCAAGCCTCAGGGACAGCACCCAGGGCCTGAGTTCCAAAGTCAGGGGGACACTTTGCTGAGAGTCCAGGTGAACCCCCCCCCCGAGAAAGTGGAGCCCCATAGCTGATCGGATGAGATCAATCCCTCCCCCCTCCTGCCCAGAACACAGAAGGAGCTGACCAAAGCCTCAGCAAAAATCCAAGAGTATTACACCAAACTCTGCCAAGAGGTGACCGACCGGGAGAGGAACGACCAGAAGCTGCTCGCCGACCTGGACGACCTGAACCGAACGAAGAAGTACCTGGAGGAGAGGCTCATAGAGCTGCTCAGGTGAGGGCTGGCCCGGCCAGCAGGCAGCCAGCCAGGGGCCCGGCCCGTCTCCTTGTGTCTGTCCACCCGCATGTCCTTCCTGAGGCCCACACAATCCTGGGATTGAGCACTCTAGAAGGCTGGACCACTAGCTGGTTGTGTACCTGGCCTGGGGATTTCAGGCTCTGCTATGTGATTGGTTGCTTTCAAAGGTTGTGTTGGACAAGGGTGGCTCTTACTTTCCAATTCCAGTAACGCAGGAGGCTGAGGTCTGGAGGATCTTGGTTCAAAGCCCAGGCAGGGACGTCTGTGCGGCTCTTTATCTCCAGTTAACCACCAAAAAAATCTGTGGCTCAAGTGGTAGAGTGAGCTGAAGAGCCTCAGAACAGCGCCCAGGCCCAGAGTTCAAGCCCCAGGATCCCCCCCCCCCAAAAAAAAAGTGATGTACAGAGGGATGACAGTTACATAAGTCAGGTAAAAAGTACTTTTTTTTTTTTTTCCTATTGGTCGTGGGGCCTGAACTCTGGGCCTGGGTGCTGTCCCTCAGCTCTTCAGCTCAAGGCGAGCGCTCTACCACTTGAGCCACAGCACCACTTCCGGTTTTCTCGTGGGTTATTAGAGATCAGAGTCTCACAGACTTTCCTGCCTGGGCTGGCTTTGAACCGCGATCCTCCGATCTCAGCCTCCTGAGCGGCTAGGATGACAGGCCTGAGCCACCGGCGCCTGGCCCCTGTCCGCGGGGATTGTGGGTGCGGGCAACTTCTTGCACAACAGCGCTGCGTGCAGGTCCCAGCATCCCCCGCGTGTGCACGCACACACACACACACACACGCCCCGCCCCGTGGCAGCAGGAGCCCTGGCGTGGCGGGGGCGGCGGGGCGCACGGATTCCCTGTGCTTCTGCCCCAGGGACAAGGACGCGCTGTGGCAGAAGTCGGACGCCCTGGAGTTCCAGCAGAAGCTCAGCGCCGAGGAGCGGTGCGTGGGGGACGCGGAGGCGACCCACTGCCACGACTGCAGGCGCGAGTTCGGCTGGATGGTGCGCCGCCACCACTGCAGGTCAGCGCGCATGCGCGTGCGCCCGCACCAGCGCTCCCTCCCCCCCCCCGCGCCCCGCCTCGCGCATGCGCGCTCACTTCCGGGCATCCTCCGTTGCAGGATCTGCGGGCGCGCCTTCTGTTACTACTGCTGCAACAACTACGTGCTTGCCAAGCCCGGCGGCAAGAAGGAGCGCTGCTGCCGGGCCTGCTTCCACAAGTGCAGCGACGGGCCCGGCTCCCCCGGCAGCGCCAGCTCCGGCGCCAGCCAGGGCGAGGCCAGCCCCGCGCCGTCCCCCGCCCGGACCCGGCCGCCAGCCATCGAGGGCCCAGGTCGGTCCCACGCGCCCCGTGGACCCGCCTGCGTGTTGTCGGGGTTTGGGGGAGCTCCCACCAATCCGAGACTTCCTGACTCGGCTCGAGGGGGGCTGGCTGGCTGGCCCTGGTGGATCCCCTCGTGCGGACCCCAGGGCCTCCCCCCGACGGGCAGTGCTACCTCGCGCATGCTCACTGCCCGGGGGGGCGCGTGCGCCGCCGGCCCTGCCCCTCGGCTCATGAAAGGAAGCAAGCGCCGGGTACACAGGCAGTCCCTGTGAGCCCGGCCTCGCCCGGGATGCCGGCCAGCCACCTCCAGAAACACCATTCCTCTTGGTAGACAAGCAAGCACGCTGTGGGAGGCTGCCCTGGAGTCTCCCAGGTCTCCAGATCGTTTTTCTTGGTCCTGGGGCTTGAACTCTGGGCCTGGGCGCTGTCCCTCAGCTCAAGGCGAGCGCTCTACCACTTGAGCCACAGCACCACTTCCAGATTTGTTTTCGTTTCAGTGATTTGTTGGAGAGGAGAGTCTCATGGACTTTCCTGCCTGGGCTGGATTTGAACCTCGATCCTCGGATCTCAGCCTCCTGGGGCAGGAGCAGGGTGGGCCTGGGCTGCCCAGAGCCAGGACTCGGTGGCACGGGCGTGTGTGCTCCGTGCTGCTACTTTTAGACAGATCTTCCCATCTAAATACAGAGCCCAGAGAAGGTAGAGGAGCTAGAAGCCTCTTTCTCAGGCTGCGCACCCGGTCTCCTCCGTGCTCTCCGTGCGTTTCTCGAATGTCCCTCACCCTGGGCAGGGTCACTGTGGGTGGGAGTGACCGTTGTGCCTCTCCTGCCCCCCAGGGGCCGCGGCTGACTGCAGGTCCCCGGACGACGCGGTGTTTGACATCATCACGGACGAGGAGCTGTGTCAGATCCAGGAGTCGGGCTCCTCCCTGCCCGAAACACCCACGGAAACCGAGTCTCCCGAGCCGAGCGTGGCTCCCCAGTGAGTATACGAGCGCCGTCCACGCGGCCTGTCCCCGCGCACGCGCACGCGCACCAAGCGAGCAGGACCTTCGAGACAGCCGGGGTCCCAGCGCAGGGCGGGGCCCCGGCTGAGCTGCTGCCAGCCCCGCGCGTGCGCAGCGCGGCCTGCACGGCGGGAGCGGGCCCGACGGGGCGCGCCTGCAGCGGCTCCCCTCCCGGGACCCAGCCGCCGCCCCCTCGGAGGACCCGGCTCCGACCCCATCAGCGGCCGTGGAGAGGCGCGGCGCGGAGCGCTCCGTGACCACACCGACGGCCGCAGCGTGGGCCTCTGCCGCTCTACCTACCTGCCTTTCTTCCTCCCCACCTCCCCGACCGGCCCTTGCTGTCTTCCTGACGACATTCTGGGCTGGGGTGAGATGGATTCGCATCTCCTCTGTGGCCAAGGATGTCGTGTGCATGTGTGCGTGCGTGTGCATGTGTGTGCGCGCGTGTGTGTGTGCATGTGCGTGCGCGTGCGTGTGCGTTTAGCCGTTTGTGCTTCTTTGGAGAACTTGGCTGTGCAGTGAACGGGCCAATTTCTTCCTTGGATTTGTTTAGTTCTTGATATCGACCCTTGAGTGAGCAGCGGCTCACGCCTGTCATCCCAGCTGCTCAGGAGGCTGAGGACCCTGGTTCAAAGCCAGCGTGGTCGGGAAAGTCCGTGAGACTCTTTCCTCCAATTAACCAGCAAAAAGCCAGAAAGGGAACAGTGGCCCAAGTGGTAGAGCCCCAACCTTGAGCAAAAAAACTAAGGGACAGCGCCCAGGTCCTGAGTTCCAGCAACAGTATCCTCTCTAACACACACACACACGCAGAACTTTCTAGGTTCCTTTGGCTCTCCCGAGTCAGAGACCAGCAAGGGTTGATGCTTTGGCGGCGGCAGCCTTCATGGAGTTAATTTTCCTGAGGTTGATGTCGAGCTGTACTGTTGGGGGTGCACATGGGGTGCCCTGTGTGTCTGGGTACTTTTTTACCCCGGCTGCAACTCGCACCCAGAGCCCACCCGCCGGCAGAGCCTCGCGCTCAGGGTGCTTGGCGTTGCCAGCTGGCATGGCTACCACCTGCTACCCGAGGAGCAAAACACGAGCAGGGTACGGGGCCGTGGTTAAGGTTGGAGAGGCGCCGTGCGGGCGGGAGTCGGGAGTGGGCAGGCGCGCTGCGGTTTCAGCTGCGTGAAACTATGCAGCCAGCGTGAAGCCCTCTGCGCGTGCGCGCTCTGCCAGCCAGGCCAAGTCTCCGCTCACTTGGAGAGTTGGAGCGGGCGCCCGGTGTGGCCTTGGTTACCGCGTGAAGACCCGGGTTACTGCTGGTGTGTGGGGGGGGGTCTTGAACTCAGGGCCTGAACGCTGTCCTTCAGCTCAAGGCTGGCGTTCTGCCACTTGGGCCACAGCGCCACTTCTATTTTTCAGGTGGTTCACTGGAGATAAGTCTCAGGGACTTTCCTGCCTAGGCTGGCTTTGAACCGTGATCCTCAGATCTCAGCCTCCTGAGTAGCTAGGATGACAGGCGGGATCCACTGGGCTGAGCTCATACTCTGTACACCAAGCCGAGCAGTCAGTGTCTGTGTGTAGTCCAGGCATGACACCTCAGGGAAACGGCCTCCAGCTTTTATTTTCATAGTCATGACATTTACATACTGTCTGATGTGGGCGTGGTTGCATAGACAGGTGTGCGGGGAAAGCATTGGCTATTGGAGATGAGCAAAGCCACCAGAGTTCACTCCAAAAATGCCACTTGGATTTTTTTTTTTTGCGTCCGGTCGTGGGGCCTGAACTCTGGGCCTGGTTGCTGCCCCTCAGCTCTTCAGCTCAAGGCTAGCGCTCTACCACTGGAGCCACA